AACATCTTGCACCTAAGATAAATAAATATAAATTAGCATTTTTCATATTCAAGGTAATGACATTTCGACAAGTCTGGGTTAATACATGGCCTATATAATCTGTCAACATACTTTCATTTTCCTGTTTTAAGTAAAGATAATCTTGCCAGTGTTAAATTGGAGTGCTTGAAAGTTCATTTAAAAGACCTATTTTACAATACAACTTTCCCACATTTTATGGAGTACGTAAAAGAACTGCTACAATGGCATGAAAGCAGTACATTCTCTTGTGCAATAGAAATGTGGTCACTCAATTCTACTAAAGGATACAGTTTCATAAGGCCACTGAAGGCCAGGAAAATTGAGACAAAAGTTAAAATCTTGGCAATTCTTCTCTGTCTGCTATGCTTACTCAAAGAAGTCAAGAGAACAAAGGATCAAACATGAAGGACCGAATGTTCCTTCCTGTATGGTGAACTGCCAACTCAACTGCACTGATATCTCCAAAGGTTTTCACCAACATATATGGAGAAGAAGGCACTTGTCACTCCAAAATAGTCTTTATTGAGGTTATTCTTAGCAAGAAGCTAATGTGCACAATAGCAATAATGATCAGCAAGTTAATTATATGTCCTGTCCAGCTTTTTTTCATCTTTTCACTTAAATTCTGTCTGAGAAGTTACACATGCAAACCAGGCCCAGCATCAGGAGTTAACATGGGAAAGTGGTGAGCTCTCCCTTGCTGGAAGCATTCAAAAATCATCTGGACAGTCATCTGAATGGGATGGTGTAACTCAGCCAGGGGCTGGGCCCAATGGCCCTCTGGCCCCTTCCAACTCTATTCTATGATTCTATGGGCAGGCAGCTGCCAAGCAGCCAGCAGTTCCAAAGAATCCAGGCACTGCCAGCCATTCTTGTGATGCTGAGCATGCTGCTACATCTTCTTCCTCATCTACTTGGGAAGCTGTGGGGCCTACAGTGCCCCGTTTTCAAAGACAAGTGGCTTTTTTATGTTTTAAATATTTGAATAGCAGTGATCTGACCCAAGCAGATGCTACAGGGAGGGAGGAAGCCACAGACATGGAGAGCACAGGGCAGAATTTACATCACTCTTGGACCATCCTTGGCCAAGTACAACCAATGAGGCATCTGACTGGTTCAGACAGCTGCTGCTCAAAACCAAAGCATTTTTTTTAATGGGGTGTGGGTGTGTGTGGCCCAGTACTTTATCTGGGAGAGGCAGGAAATTCCCCATGCTAAGAAATGGAAGGGAAGAAAGGGAAGCAGTGTGCTAAGAAAGGGAAGCAGTGTGCTTCCCTTATGCAGACACATTTAGTTTCTCTCTCATAGCTTCACCTTTTTCATTCTCAATCTTCATTCTCTTTTTCAGCAGCTTTCCAACTTCCAGTGCTCCCTGTCCTTCCCTTTTGCAATGGACTTGCTATTATCCTAACACTTTTCCATGTGATTTTAGTCTATTAATAAAATGACATTTTCTGAAAAGCTCTGACCTTCTCTACTCTACTATTCAAGGCATAAGGTCACTCTGTTACTTAGAACAAGGTGATAACATAGGCGGCTTGTACTGTACTTGTCCCTTCTAGGTGACTTGCACTGTAAGCCGCCTAGCCTTGGCAGTTATAGGAGGCCTATAAATACATGTATAAGAATGAATGAATGAATGAATGAATGAATGAATGAATGGAGCTATGGCTACATAAGAAAGAGGTAGGACAGACAACCAAGACACTCCATGAGTCCAGCCAGTGGTCAGGGAGCATGAAATTTCTGGTCCAAAACATCTGGAAGGCACCAAGTTGTACACCCCCAGTGAGGATGTTTCTGCAGCACCAGAGGAATTCCTTCTCAGGCATTGTGCATTCCACAATGGTGCAGTCCCAAACATGGAAAAGGCATGTGTATAAAGATGGGTGTCAGAAGGAAGCACGGTAATATTAACTATATTACTCTCGAGGCCAGAGAGAAATATAGTTAATACTTAACCTTCAGTTGTATTTTATGTAGGTTCTTATCAGTACTGTTGCTCTTCTTTAAGTATATCTTGACTTTACTGTATTATACCTGTATAATAAAGAACAAGGTATTTCCTACTGTTATTATATCAGTGAAAGGGACAGTATCTCTTCCACAATCTTGTATGAAAACCTTTTTGTTCAACTGAACAGGAGTGGTAGTTACCAGAAAAGAAGCAAAACAGAAATACCTCATTCCCAATAACCTTAGTTGTGGGCCCGCAAATAAAGGCTCTAAATAAATATTAATACATCTACAGAGCTGCTTCATACCATTCCAAGAATCCCATCTATGTAAATCATTATTAGGTGTGATGGGAGGCACACAGATCATATGCACTGTATGATAAGTACATACATACAGCACACATGGGTGCCTATTTGCTCTTTCCCACATTAGGTGTCTTGAAGGGGAAGCAAAAGCAACCTATTATGTGCTTTAATGCCTGCCTTTTTTCTCTCTGTCACTGTGATAGCAGCAAGTGAAGGGGGAATGGATGCAGAAACGGCTCTTTTTGTGCAAGTGAACATTACCAGAGTAGACAACTCCACCCACTCGGAGAATGCTGTTCTGTTCACAAGAGACACACACATTAAGCTTTCCCTTATCATAAAGAAGAACAGAAACTCTTGGATAACCACACTTCACTGAGTTTCTTTGCAAGGGGTGGGGAGAGGTTATGTAACAGGAGTACATTAGGTGTTGTACAAAGAAGCAAACCAAGGCAGCACAGCTGCATAACACCTAAAAATAATACCTAAATGCAGATCACCCTCTTATAAATACAGGCTGAGTCTCAAGAGTTTTTAACAGGGAGCTGACAAAGCTTTCAAACAGGTCTTAGCCATTTTCATTACATTCAAACATACTAGGTCAGCCTTCAATACATAACAAAATTATCGCATTATGCCACTTGGCTCTTTACATTCTGATAGTGTTACTCATTGGCATGACTGTCACTTATGGGTAAAATCAGAATTTATTCAACCAGTGCTGTGGCAGCCACAGGAGTCAGCCTTAGGTCACTTCTGCCTCCTGAGATTTGCAAGGCAGGCTCTTGGATTTCATTACACAGTGTCTTTACATTGTGCCACAGAGACATTCATCTGGCTGTGTTACAAGGTTTGTTTCTTGCATGAATGCCCAGCTCTTCCCTCAGTCTTGTCTGGAATCCAAGAATCTCTATTCCCATTGTCAGATTGCATAATATATAAAAATCACAAGGCATTTGAGAATAGAAATATAAAATAGCTCTCTCTGAGGCATGATGTACAGTACCATCAGCTGAAAAGCTTTTAACCAGATGACAGAATTTCTGAACTCCACAGGCTTAACACAAACTAAAAAGCTCTTTTAAAAGTGTAAGATAGGATTAATCTGACTTGCAAGCAAATACCAGCATGATTAGTACTTTTAACTAACTGATAAAGTGTAATATAAAGATCTTGGGTATTCTTGAGAGACAGTATCCTGAAACATCTCAATACTGAAAAACTGTACAAAAATGAAGTAACAGAATGTATAATCTAAAAATGTATATCCTTGTTGTTTCCTCATAAAACACAGAACTGTAGGCATTTCTATTTAAGTTACCTGCCAATGTTGAGTTACAGCATTCCATACTCCCACTTTTCCTGTATGACTAGTAGCCACCAACTGGTTACCAATGAAGAAGAGAGCATCTACAGGGACTCCAAGACTAAATATTCCTATAAGAAAAAACACACCCATATCCAGAATAAATACTAAAGCACTTCTTCAGAACAGTCTACAGCAGACTATATCAGCATTAAAAAGTGTAAGAAAAAAAGACAATCGATAAATTATCTCTTCTGCTTAACAGTATCTTAAGCAACTGCAGATCAGTTGATGTGGATTCAACAACATTCTCACCAATAATTGTGTACCATCAACTAGGACCCTGAAACTTCTCCAGGTCATACAACTGAAGCAGTCATACAACCACCACTGCCACATATCAAGGTCAAAACTGTTGTATTCTGTGTCTTTTCATGCTAACTACCTTTGACCTCTTTTTGACTTAATTAACATTAAAAATGTGAAGTATACTAATAAGTGCTACAAATACAAGATACATTTGCTCCTTATTGCCTTTGATGCCAACTATCCAATGATACATTTGGGATTGTTTATCAAACAGGGCATTTGTTTTACTTTTGTTACTATACTGAATGGTGCCATTTCCTTCAAAATGGATGTTCTTGTTTTATCTTGAACAGCCACATTTTGTATGGTGGAAGCACAAAGATTAAACTTATCCATCTAGAAGCTTTCCCTTTCAGGACTTTTTTAAATAACACAAGAGGCTCTAAACCAGGGGTCTCAAACTCACGGTCTGCGGGCCAATTGCCGGGATGAGCGGGGCACGGGGGAGGGGCCCTGCGGCCTTCAAAGCTCTGTCGGCGCCCGGGCCGGCCACGGGATGAGCGGCCCACCACCATCGCGGTGGTGGAATACTTGATGTGGCCCAGACTCACCCAGACTCTACTTCCAGCGGCCCCCAGGTAAGTTGAGTTTGAGACCCCTGCTCTAAACTGATTCACATACATGCAAATTCTCTTACTAGTTACCAATGGCTGTAAATTATCTATGGATTATAACCTGATTTGTGACACAAACTGTCAAGAATAATTAGTTGATTATTAACATTTAATATGAATGCAGACTATTTAAAGAGATTTGCAGCAAGACTGAAGAAACCTGCTTACAGTTGGATAGTTTATTTGACTTAACAGAATGCTTGCCAGTTGCATTCATATATCCATTAGATCAGAATTAATAAGCTTACAATATGAGAAACACATCCAAATGAAGCGTGTTCTCTGTAATTTTTTTATGAATCCACTTAAGAATTAATCCTATAGTGCATAAGCATGTTATGAGATACTTTTCTATAAACAGCTCTTAAGAAACTCTTTGAAGACACTTCCAATTTCCAAACTTTGTAAGGACAAAATTGTGACCCTAAGAACCAATATGCTATGTTAAAGTAGAGAACAGTATTTTCTATGTTTACTGATATGCCTGGTGCACAGTGTGACTTAATTATAATGCCAAATAATTTTTCAGGGCATATGATAATATGTGATGCTGACTATATTTAACAGCAGGGCACATAAAAGCAGGCAATAATAAAAAGGAGAGAAACAACTAGAATTGATTACTCTGGAGAAGGATGAGGTTCAGGGAAATCAAGAAAGACAGTATGAATAGTCTGAAGGAATTTAAAGTGCCACTCCTGCTTAGGCTCAACAATCCTGATGGCCGTCCACAGGGAAGACGATGGTATAAGTAATGACAGGTTCTTGTCTTAAGGGGCCCTCTCAGTAAAATATTGCTTATAGCAGCAATCCAGTAGTGGTATCTTATGTAAGTAATATTGAAGGGAAAACAGCCTCTGGGAGAGCTCTATCATGGAGATGCCAGCCCTTGCAATTTTCCATAGATGGTGTTGTCAGCTTCTGAAGAGTGTTTGTAACAACAAATTGTTTCTTTTCCAGGACATGAACAAAGCATTACTTCTCTATCCTAAGGCAGGGCTGCTAACATTAGCCTTTGCAAGAGAAATAGGCCTGTAAAATTCTCTGAAAGAGAAGAATCTTGCTTAGTAAATGACTATAATGAACTAACAAATTCCCTGCTTGAACTAATAAAAAGTTCAAGGTATATCCATTTCAATACATTCATAGTTTGTAAAAGCATGTTGCATAATAGAACTATATTTCTTAATTGAGGTTTTTTATTTTATCCAAATTGGCTATGTTTACTTTTGTTTAATTGTTTAACATATTTTGATATAGTAAGTTATCACTTTAAACAGTTTAATTTATCCTTTATTGTATGCAGAGAGGAAAGCCTGATAAACTGTCAAGTGCGATGGAAGGCTGAGGAGCAGGAATGCTAAAGAGCTAGAAGTAGCATTTGAAAGTGTAAAATGAACATAATTTTCTTATGTTGGTTCACCTAGTTCCTGCTGGTTAACATTAGAAAGGACTTATTATATATTCTCAGTGATTCAATCCTATGCTTGTCCACTGGTCACCTGTCTACTCTATTTGTACAGACACCTACAATAAAGAATAATTTCACTGCAAAGAACCTTATGTTCTGGGAAGCTGGAAATGCCTGCATTATCTGTCCCAGATTAAATCTCTGTTAACTTGAAATGATGTGGTCCAGGTCAGCACCATAGGGGTGGGCACGAAATGGGTAAGCAGCTGGTACCAGAAAATAACCTATTTCATTTATTTAATCTCTGTTCCTGTTCACTGCAAAAAAATAGGTAAGTTAGCTCTAAGCTCTGAACACAGCAGATCCCATGCTGAGAAGCTCTCTATGTGGTTCACAACAGCTCATTAACAGAGCTCAAAACTTGTGGAGAGCACTCACATGGGGAAAGGTGTTTTAATGTATATTGTCTACAGAGAACTTATACCTGCTGTGCACTTTTGAATGGCAACTGTGCCTCATTCATGGAACTCTCCCTACAAGGTTTGCCAGACAGAGATGTCTTTTCAGCAACAGGGGATGGGCATTAGGTATGTCATTAAGACATTGTATTAAAGTGGAGTTGTCATTTTCTTTTATTGCTTTTAACTTTGTCTTAGTTAAATTAAGTTTCTTACTATTTTATTGCATTTTTATTTTTATTTGTAAACCACCTGATAACTGGATATAGAAATAAATGAAATAATCTGCACTGCCACAGTGTACTGACAACCACATTTAATTGAATATTCACATTGTTAAGTTGTTTCCCTGTACTACAATATTGATCCCCTGAAGGGCTTAATTAGTTGAGGGCAAGAAACAACTCCACTCTATAGAATATTTCTCTGAACATACAAGTAATTTTGGAATGCTGCATCAGGGCGCTACACATCTATGCTTGGGAGTAAATTATATCTGTGATGACAGCACTTCCTAGCTGGGAGAAATAGCATGTCATTATTGCTACACCTTAAATGCTAGCTTTGGAACTTAAAGAGATTTTTTGTATCTCTGCCCCTGCTCAAACTGCTGCTGCTGTTTGGAAGCAAGTGCATATTTTACTAAGAAAGACAAGCTATCTGTCAGATATCTAGAGTGAAGTATTTGGCTTCTCTGGAAGCTTTTCCTATATATATATATCTACCTTCTAGTAACATGGAGCCATTGGCTTGAAACTCTTCAATGCCCACTGCTAGCTATCTCAGCTAATTTCTGCTTAAAAGATTATTAGTGGCAAACCAATGCCTAAATTATGGTTTTTGAAGGTTATCAGAAGGAGACCTTGAGATATATGGCTTTTAGTAAGAACAAGACATGCTGGCAGTCATTCCAAACTGTCATCTCTAATTCCCACATTCAGGTTCATCATGCAGAGCTGAAATAAGTCAGTCACAAATTAAATTACTTTCTACTTATTATCACAACAGGACTTCAGTAACACTTCCTCTAATTGACATATTCTACTATCATGGCTCTTAAGATGCTATCTTCCTCTATATTAAGATACTACTTTAGTCTAGGATTGATAAAAAACAAATCCTTTGCTGATAGCTGTAGGCTCTCAAACAAGGAAGCTCACAGTCTCTAAGTGCAAAGTGGAAGGAGTGGTGGAGCAATCTTCCCCTCCCCGCTCTTCCACACACATTTTTGCAGAACGGGACTTTTTTACCCATCTAGCTGGAGCATCTCAGAGTGGAAAGAGGCTGGATAGGCATCAGGATAGTTTCTATCCTCAATGCTCCAGCCTCCAACTCCCTACTCCCTCCTTGCCCACTGAGGTCAGGAATATGATATTGGACAGTAACGTTCTTGACCTCAAGAAGCACCCAGAGCAGTTCTGTTCAAGTGGCTGCAAGGGGGTTCAAATTTTCCTTGCTATGCCAAGGCGAAAGCACTGTTTCTAACCTTGAATCTGGGAATCCCAGGTATCTTATGGCCCCTCAGACACCACCTAGAGGCCACAGGATAGCTCCCTAAGGATACTAATAGGTAGTTTTAATTCACTCTAGGGAAAAATAATACAGACAAGTAGCTAGACAAGAACTCTGATACAATGAAGATATAAAAGCAATAAAAGTAAAACAAAGCCCCACACTCACCTATTTCACTACCACTACCACCATCCTGAACACTCCATAAAATTATACTGCTTTCAGATGCAACAGCAACCATTTTATCTTTGTCTCCATGTGGACCACCAACAACTTTTGCATTCAGAGCCACGCGTTCAATAGTCCAGTCCAAGTATGGACTTGTGAACACCTGTTGCCATCCAGAAGATTCTTTAATTCTAAAAGGAAATTTTTATTTTAAAAAGCATGTTTTTGTAAGTAAGCATTTCAATATATACCCAAACTTCAAAAAAAAAGTTTTCCCAACTTTTGAGGGGTATAAAATTGCTTTAAAATATCTTCTATCCAGCATGCTCATTAAGTGAAAATAAATTCTATACCTTCAAGATAAAATATAGCTATATGCTATAGCAAATATATAACAGGCCAGAAATTATTAATTCTTCTACTAGTGAAGCTAACCCTTTTTAGAATTCTAAAATGTGGACTCCTATTTTCTTACAAGGCCACTTGATAATATCATATACACAGCAGCATTTACAGCAATGTGAAAAGAAATAGAGCACAGCATCATCATGTAATCATTTATAACACACCTAACATTTGTTATAGGCGCTGAAAAAATGGAATATGAGACAGTGCCTACCTGCGGTCTCATAGTTTAACAGACAACACAAAAGAGATGTTGAAGTAAGTGGGGTAGGGGGGTAATGTTGGGTACTAGTGTTTGAAGTTTTTATACTGAATAGCTGGAATGGGCATAGTTAAGGAACAAAAGACAAATAATAAGATTTTCTTAGCCAAGCTAGTTGAGTGGACCCTGCTACCCATCTCTTCCTAGACTACATCAAAGTGGAAAAGTTAGCGATAATTCAGGGAAGATGTGCAGCTCAGTGGCTGTTAATTCCAGCCAAACCAATGGACAATCATTACAATCCTAAATGCAATCATGTAAGAGGTAAATATATTGGTCAGAGTTTTACTGCATGTAAAGTAGTCATAAAAATTATACTGGGGCCATAAGGTATGAATCTAGAGCTCCCCAGTGTGGAAGGAGTTTATTTATGCAGCTACTCCATTTTGAGCAAGGAAAGAATGTGCCTTTCATTATAAGCAGTCATGTCTGTTGAAGAATACATAGGTTGGCAGATATTTATTCTTTGTTAAGCAGCAAAATTCAGGATAGATGCTTTACAGAAGCAATCAGGTATATGTCACAATAGTCATTTCTATACTATGCAGAACAAAAGCCAATCGTCCCTTCCTCATTTCCGACGTGGTTTTAGGGATATTCTGCACTTTCTAGCACATAGAAATCATCTTGATAATGAGAATAAAAGATTCTAGGTTGTCACATGCCCAAAATAGGAGATGTGTCAAATTAAAGCTCTAAATATCTGGATATGCAGAAAAAGTGATTTTGCCAATTGGCTTGAAAAAGCCAAAGAAACTATGAGAGGAATGATGTACAAGTCTAAAAAGAATTGTGGTGTGAAAAGGCAAAGCTACACAGATGCCCTGTATCTGTGCTTTCTATTTATGCTACAATTTCATTTGATGTGTACTAAACTTTCTATACAGTTTCTGTGCAATTAACAGCTTTAATCAAAAGTGGCAATTGTTAGGAATGGCAGCTGATTTATTAGCAGCGTCAATCCATTCTGCTGTACTGGAACTGGCATGACACATAGGAACCAGATGAGGGCACTCCGGTCTCATTTAATTTCTAGTGCATGCAATGACCCTTAGCACTGTACCATGGAACCCCTAAACCAGGCAGACTACTCTGCATGTTGAAATCTTCATGCTATTGTTTCTTGTAAATGTTATTTAATTATTTAAAATAAGTTTATAAAATAATTTGTCCCATGAACACTCTCTGATAGTCACAATGTAATGGACTTTTTGAACTCCATCTACTCAATGAAAAAGTTACCTACATCTCTTCTGCGCCTCTCAGAAATACATTAGACATTTATGAAACAAAAAAAAAAGAAGCATCACATGTTTCAAACATATTTTTTCACTTAAAATAAATGAAGCAGGGCTCTAATTTTCTGTTTGTTAGTTCTGCATATTTTAAAGGAAAAGGGCACATTTGAAACATACATTTTTACATCTATATGCAAGAACTTTTCAGCAAAGCAGTCATATGAGTCCAACATGCCTGACTGATGAAAGGTATCTACATCTGCAGGGTAATCATGAACTGAGGAAGTTACAGAATTTTTCTCAAACACATGCACTTAAGAAAAACAATCATCTCATATTTTAAGAACACTTTCCATCCCATAAAACAGCACAAATATTAAAAGCTAAAAGTAAAGGAATCTTATCTTTACCTATAACAAACTGCAAAGTGAGCATAGGCAGCTACAATCCAGTTGTGATGACCAGCCACTATCAAAACTTTTCGTGGATCCACAGGAAAACCTTTAAACACAACACAGCAGAGGTAAAGTGGAGTCCTCCATGATCACAAACCATTTATGGCACCTACACTGTTCCATTTCCATCAGCCAGGCAGTGTGTATTCTGAAATTTCACAAATGCCTCTTGCAAGAATGGAATTTGGTACTGGACACTTGATTTTGACAACTTAAATTCTGAACTTTAACTCTCTCTCTTACATTCACCACTACCTTTTCTGACTACAAATACAGACACGAGAATTACATCCAATATTCCACTGCCCAAAAATTCAAAAATCAAAATGAGAGACATAAGTAAGAACTCCAATAGCTAGGGAGGGCAGCTTGAGTTCCCATGCAGATCCCAAACACAGTTCTCATTCTGTAACTATGCACAAGATGGACTGCAGAACACCACACTTCCTCAGCACAGTGCTTCACTTCTTGTTGATTGCCCCCACAGCAACATTTCTGTGAAATTCCTGCTTTTTTTAATACAACATCTGCAATCAGGGTGTAGAACTGCCTACAGATACTTGGTTGGAGCAAACTCATTATTTGTTTGCTGCATTTATATCGCAGGCCTCTGTATATCAGAACAACAATGCATTTTGTGATCTGCATATGAAGCCACTTTCCACAGGACTCCAGCTATTGCCTAGCTCATTATGATCCATGCCCAGGACAGTTAGACTTCACGCAATGCATGAAGTAGGGCCCATCAATAATATATGCATAAAGTATTTGGCTAATACTACTGCCATGTAAATAAAAATAGTACTCAAGCTTCAAGTTAGTTAATATGTATTCCATCAGTGCCCCATTTTTCCAAGAGCACTGAATGCTTTGTATCAACTTATGTACTTAAACATTCAGTGGGATGCTAGAGTTCAGATAACATAGCCAAAGACAATGTTTTTCATTTTATACCAAAGCACTGCTTGGCTGAAAAGAACTAGATTTGTAATCCCCCACCCATACTCCCATTGCAAGTAAGCAGGTGCTCATAATCTTTCAAACAGCCCTGTTGTTCTTGCAAGGAAATCTAACTGAAGCCTGCAGACATCCTGTACGTTGGTCATGCCCTTGTCTAGACACAACACATAACCAAGTTATAGGCTACATGTGCCTCTACCTGGTCTATAGTGCTTGCACAACAACCCTGTAAGAGACTGCAATGGTCAAGAATGGACATATCAAATGAAGACTCAAGTGTGGATTTTTGACACAATTATTAAGATACTTCCACATGAATATGTTAATTGCATTTAAGAAAATAAGTCAATTTTTCTCACCCAGCCTAACTGAATCTTCTCCAGTACCAGCAAGTGAAGGCTGCATATTCCCTCCTCGGGCCTCACCTTCAGAGCCGTTCTGAGGTGTTCTAACATCTGTAGATGTCCCTGAGGAGTTGCTGATCTTACGACTTGGAATACCTATGAGAAAAAGGAAGATAATCATCAAATAAGTACTAGCCTTCACTGCTAATTTTTCATTAGTGGTAAAAGCACACAAGCAAAGCCCTAAGCACTTGGAGTGGATGGAAGCTCATGCGAGAGTGCACTGTCTCCCTGAGCAGCCTGCCTAGACACTGTCATCAGAAGAGGTGTTCCTGCTGGTCCCACAAGATCCATTTAAAATCCACTTGGAGCAGTCAGGTACCATTTATCTGGAATTTCCTGCCAGTTAGGTTGGCACCAATGTTACTTTGCCTTTGGTGCTTCCTAAAGACATTTTACTTAAACAAGCTTTTCCTGAATGATCAGCTATATTTTCATTCCTTCCTTTACTGTCCATTGCCCAATCTTTTTAAAGATTCAGATGACTTATCAATTTTAAAATTAATATATTTTAAAATAAATAAATATATGGAAGACTTCCCATCTTCCTTCTTGTACCCGCATTTGCCAAAACCCCTGTGAATGTAGAGCACTATCTAGAATGCCATGGGGATACAGTGGGAGAAGGTTATTTCCCCAAGCCAAGAAGACACACCTTGTGCAACTAGATTTATATTCCTCCAAAGCGCCTCTTTCCAATTTTGACCAATTTCCAAGTCCCTTGACAGCTTTCCATGCCTTATTCCATGCCATTCCAAGGGCTGCCTAATTGTCAGTGAAGATATAGCAGCGCTCAGGCTCCAGCCCATAGTATTCAAAATATTAATATATGCTGTATTGTAGTGTTTCAGTGTAGACTGACTCATCAAGACAATGACCTAACAGATTTTGTTTACTGATCATAAATGATGTCACTACAGCAATCAGTCACCTACAAGAAGAAGCAAGCTACCTCAACAGCCCCGAATATATAAATCACAGCCTTGTAATGAAGCATTCACTTGCTCACGAGATGTCCCTATGCGGCATGTGTGAACTAGAGTGTGAGACTTATTCAACCTGCACACCTGCAGCAGCAATAGAAGCCAAAGAAATGTTTGTTTGCTCGTTATTGTTGGTGCGATTGTTGTTATTGCTTAGTGTGTGTAGTTATTTCTTTTTACTGTTTGGTGTACATATCACAGAGACAATTTGATATTATCTGGTTTTATTATTTTAAATTGTTTTTTAAAGGTGGTTCTGAGGAATCCTGGGGAGCAAGGGGGTGCCCCCATTAGTGTGATGATGGGTAAGGTGGAAGTATGATCCTGGGAGAGCAACAGGCCAGGGGAGATGAGCATTTAGATATCTTCCAGGCAACTGTACCAGCCTACTCTCAGGCTTCCTGCTGCTGTTTAATGCCAGGTCAGATGAGAAGGCCACGAGGTGAAGGGCTTTCTTGGCTGTGGCACTCCAATTATAGAATCAGCTCCTTAGGGAGGTGCACCAGGCACTGACTCTCTATATTTTAGCACCAGATTAGAACCTTTTTATTTTCCTGGCATTTTAGTTATTATATTAAATTACTGAATTTTACATTGGTTTTATCCATATGGACATTAGCACTCTGTGATTTGGTTTTATTCTTGTACTATGCATTACTTGTACTATACCTTATTATGACTATTTATTGGTACTTTTTGTGGATGCTATGCTCCAATGAATGTTAATTGTCCTGTTGATATATTATATGTATATTATGTTTTTTAGATTGTTTTAATTTGTTCTACACTGTTCTGAGAAGTGTCTGACAATTGCATGGGTTAAAAAAAGCCTTAACTGGTTCATAAAAATCCATAAATAAATAAATAAAAAACTAAGGCAGGTAGGTGATGAATATAATAAAGTATAATGCTTCAAAGGCTACGGCAGCTACTGTTACCAGAGGATTCTGCAGTTCGTACAGAAATAACAGATAACAGACAGCAGAGAACTATTTAGATTAGAATACTGATAAAGTCTTGAAGTGGAAATGTTATGTGGATATGACTATACTACAAATCTGAAAGTTATTAGAAACTTTACACATAAGAAAAGCCATTATCAAGATTATCTTAAAATTCCTTTGAGAAGATCTCATGACTGTAAAGCCACAGAAGTTTTCAAGAGCTGCATCTTGCTTCCAAGGTCAGCAGTAGTGTGCAAAAAAGATGCAAGTACCTGGAGGTGGCAAATAGCCATGAAAGAGGACACTGCCACAAGAAGAACGCTCCAGCTCTTCACATAAGAGTAGTCTCCTTACTGAAAGAAAACAATGAAAGGAAACTAGAAAGCAATACAAATTAGCTAATAAAAGGAAAATGCAAGCACCTAGCAATTAAAATAAACCAAAAGTCTGGTGAATTAAAAATAAAATTGAACTACTTTTCTAACACTCATCAGTTAGGGACTCAAACCTGTTTTGGAAAGTAGAAACACGTCAGAGAGCTGAAATCCATCCCAGTTTCCACCAAGTTTCTCTTTTTTGGTACCAGAGTTGGGGTGAGTGTTCTTAGTAGCTTCCCAGTAGCTGCCAACTTTGTCCTAAAAAACCATCTGGGAACATTTAAGTGTGATGAAGTATTCCCAGATGGCTTTTGGGTGGGTTGGGAATAGGAGTCACTGGAAGTTCTTTGCTGGTGCTGTAAAACTGACCCTGGCAGCAAAAAAAAAATTGCTCTCTTTTCCTTGGTCCCACGTTTCCTTTTGGCTTTCTTCTGAACAAAAAGTTCTTGACAGTCTTCATCTCATTACTCATCTCAGTGTTCATCTCATTACTATACAGGATCCAGTTATGATTTGAGTAACTGGGCAAACTGTAGTTTCACTAAAAATGCAATTAACCATTAACTCCTATGGCCAGTTAGAAAGAGGCTTGCTGGCCAGAGAGAAGTCCCAGTCCCAGTTCTGCACTTGCAAATGTTCTCTGATTTCAGAGCCCCAACACCCTCTCTCTGCACCCACAGCTGGCAGTTCTTTCTGCACTGCCTGTAGCTCTGCAGTCAAAGACTGCAGACATTCTGGGGGTCAGGGAGGGGAGCTGTGAGGCTTTGCCATGATACAAAGTATCCTTGTGACACCTCAGCCTGTCCTCTTCAAATACCCCCAGAAAAAACATAAATGGCTGAAATCAGCTATTTAAGTCTTCCAGCAGAGGCAGAAGCATGGTGGTGATCTTTACCACTATGCTCCTCCCAGCCTCATTTAATGCCTGTAATCCCAAATTCGCCAGGTTACAGGCAGCTACACAAGATGATACAGTAAGCTAATCTCCAACTTCAAACTAATACGTAACTTAAATTTATTTAATTACCTAAAGGAGTGATTCCATAAAATTCTGCTTCATGCCTGAGCACATTAATGCTTACTCCCCTGCAAAAAGGTAAAAAAAATATAAATACTATCTGAAAATTAAACTAAGTTGTTCCAGCAAATTAGAAATTAAAATTATAAACAAAAGTTAAAGCTAAATCCCTTATAAGCAGCTTTCTTTTCACATGCCAAAAATACTCAGGACAACCAAAATCAGCTTTCATGCTATTTATAAACACAAACCTCCACAAAAATTTAGGCTATATTAAACTGAAGAAGGATATTGTGACTCACTGAGCTAAAATATATATTATTTGAAATCAGTTTTCTTTAGGTGTTATTGTTAGGGCAATAAAAAAATCATAGAACTAAAGTATTCTGGGATACATACAGTACAATGTGCCAATTGTGGCTCCAACCCAATACATTAACTTTACTGCCCAAGCATTTTCAAATGAGGTGAGTATGTATATGTCTCTCACAGTCAGAATACATACACATAAGAAAGGTGGGTTCAGCTCTCATTCAAGCTGAACAATTTCAAGGTTCTTCAGTGGAACTGTACAGATGTCTCATTTTAGAGATTCTAGACACCAGACTGTCCCAGAAGCTGTGGCCCATTGTGTAAAGTTTAAAGAAATGTGAGAATATAGAAGGAATTATACATGAGGATGGTAAAACATTTGCAAAAGTTTGAAGAAGACCCAACAGATCCTGCTAGAATCAAGTGCACTTGCAGAACCTTTGCAGAAATCCATTTCAAAGATTAGGGAGTGGATTATTCTGTGGAATCTAAGGGGCTAATACTGCCATCTCTACAGGGACATTTCTGAAATTGATTTTAACAGATCTCAAGGGGTGCTTTATAATCACCTTCCTCCAGAAGTGTTTTTAAAATGACAGTAGAATTAATGTAGAAATTTTTTTACCGCAAATCCAATTCTTTTGTCCGAAGAAAATTCAGAATAGGTGCAAATGCTGCAGGATCTCTATCAATAAATATCTGCAAAGAAACGAGAGCCCATTTATTAGCTTCACATAATTGTTCTAGAATAGGAACATAACCCTGTCCTAGTTATTCACCCTTAAATCCCATTTATTTGAATGGGAGCAGTGTAAGCAAGTATTCCAGTATAGTTGAAATCAACTTAAGATGCTTAAATTTTGTCAATTTATATCTTATATACAGTACAATAACAAAACCACTGACTTAATTTAAATTTTAAAAATTCTAACAAAACTTCACCAAACACCAATTTATTGGGCGTGTTCAAATGATGCTTCACCTCTGGAATATTCAGTAGAAGACTGCAAACAGATTATCTCCATTCTATCTAGAAATGTTGCTGAAGTTCACAGTTCTCTGATTTAGAATGCAAATTTGTTCAGCTCATTCTGATCACATATAATTTGACTGCTATCACTCTGAGAAGCTCTTTTCTGTCTTGATACAAGAAAATTCTGCACATGTAAAATCCATGTTCAAGCAGATCAGATAGGTTTGGAGGTATATATATGCATTTTTAAATGATTACCCCTTATCCTTAATGAAACCTTCTGATTGTCAAGAATGTTACCTAACCATCTGAGCAGGTACTCTTTGTTTGAAATACATGCTTCCTCTTCAGTCAATTCACTGTATTGTTCTTTTATAAATGTTGTGCAAAGTTGCTGTGGCCTCTACGGACTTAAAGCATGGTAATTTAATATGGATTAAGCCAGCCTAGTTCCAGTATATAGTGTAAACTATTCCTCAAAAAAACATGACTGGAAGCCATAGGCTTATCTTAACACCACCTCAATTTGACATTTGTATGTCTTAAAACTTTTGCACATAGACACATGAGATTATGAGAGTCATCCTGGTACAAAAAAATATTTTCATCTGCTAAACTTAATACAGGAATCATGCACCATGTACTAACAAATTAAAAACAGTATACTCACAGCACCAGTTTCATCTTTCAGTGTTGATATTCTTCCACTCAGCAAACTGAAAACAAAAAAAAAATTCTAAGTAACAATCTAATTTTGTATTAAGAGATGTGGTAAACAAAAGACATAGGAAAAAAACAAATCAAGCTACTACATTGTACTTCTATTCCAATAAGAGAATGGATGATTTCTGACAACTCCCACCTTCAACTGCAGGACCATGAGTCATATCATTCCCAAGAGGCTCTCAATCCCTGAACGGATTTTCAAAGGTGAGGAAGGTAGAAGATGGAAAGGGTAGATAGAAAGGTCTTGTTCCACTGATAGAAGAATAGTTAGGATCCATTTACATGTGTACGTTGCTTTTTTATATACAGAGTTCCAAAATTATTTTCTGCTACACTACACCAAAAAAAACTATAGCTTACTATGTTTGCCCATGTGTATGCTCATAAAGCTTAGGTGGGGAAATTAAGGAAATTATTAGTTGGTTAGGGAGGAATTAAAAACTCTTCTCTTACTTTTACCTACTCTGAATGAAACACCTTTTTCCTATTCTGAATAAAACCTCCCTCTCTTGTTCTATTCTCAGTGAAAGAAAACTAGGAAAATCCTTGCTCTATCCTTTCCCATCTGTCATTTAGTTCTGAACTGTCTCCTTCCAATAATGGAGGGTAAAGAAGTATAACTTGGAAGCAAAAGGCAGAGCTGTAAGGGATGTTCTCTCCCAGCTTCTTCCACTGCAAATCTACTCTTTCCAATGCTGGTTTATTCCACAAATGAGCAAGGAAATCTATTATGCTAATTAGTATAATATTCATGAGTATCTTTAAACGCTCCCCCCCTCCATGGCACAAAAAAGAGCACAGGCAGTCCTCAAACATTAGTCCATAATGCAGCTGTAAGAGAACTGCTTCACTTCACCACTTACATGTAGCATGTATCAAAAGATGACTAGCATTAAAGAAGGTAGTGTTAGGATAACAGAACAATATATTGGAAAAAATCGAGTGTTTTTGGCAGTTGGAAATTTTCTTATGGGAAATAAGAAAAAAACACATTTGAAGATGTGAGAAATATCTGCATATTTCACATTCTTTAAGAATCCACATGTTCTTTTAAAATGCAACACTGTTGAGAACAGTGGGTTTTATGCAGTGCATTCTATATTTTTTTTCCTCAGCACAAGGAGGCCAGTAAAAATGGGAAATGATAGTCTGAACATTTGTACTGCAGGAAACAGCAGCAGCCTTTAATGGTAGACAAAACCACACATCACAAGTTCTCTCAAGGTAAAAATACACTGTTAAAGTTGCATACCTGTGCATACTAGGGCATAAGTCTAATTGAATTTACCCTTATTTTCAAGTAAATCTACATAGGATCTGAATGCAAAATACCTGGAAAAAAATGAGTCTGGAATCCACATTAGTGTTTGTCTAGAAGTGCTGAACCTGGAAAAGAAATACTAGAAATCAAATACTGCAATGAGCAATTTTCACTGACCAGGTTACTATATATGTCATATTTACTTTTATGTTAATTCTTTCATACTTGGGAAACAATGCTTCAACATAACATTAAGAACAATTTATTTCATTCATACTAAAGGATTATTGATGTACACCCAACATGGTGAGGGGGTGTGAGAGTGTCAGAGAAACCAAGCATAGTGCTGCCAGGAGACCAGACTTTCTCACTGGGCTAATCTTCTAGCAGGGTCACCCAAAGCAGAATGGTCAAAGCTGAGACATCAGATTAAGATGCATCCACCATCTTCACATTTAATGGCCACATCAGCAAAAGTGAATGGATATATTGAATGGTGATGGGGGTACAGACATTCTTGAAGGGCAGCTAACTGAACAACAGCAGTACTTGAAGACCACACTGACAGATCATTTGCAGACACCAGCAAGGATGCTCCCAACAGCCCTGGTTGGTACTGCACAGGGAAAGGTGCACTTCTGAATAAAACACTTAATATTCCTTACCTGGAAAGCCCTGATGAAACAATCCAAATGAAAGAAGAAATAGTGCTAGAAGATGAGACTCCCAGATTGGAAGGCGCTCAACCAGCTACTGGGAAAGAGCAAGAACAAGCAGCAATCGTGCTGTTGCTCATGAAGCAGCTAGATCAAAGCTGAAAGGAAGTGTAGTGGCTGACTTGCACAAAGGCAAAAGAGAAGTCCAATACAACGAAGTTGGAACATGGAATGTGCATGAGGTGTTGTGCATCAAGGCAAACTGCAATCCGTAAAGCAATAAATGGAACAGTTAAACATCACAATACTTGATCTAAGAGACTAAAGTGGCCTGGAACATTTTCAGTCAGATTAACCAAGTATTTTGCTCTGGAAATGACAAACTCAGAAAAAAATGAAGTAACTCGAACATGAGGCAAGATATAGCATAAGCAGAAAGGAGCTATATATCACAAAATCAGACCAAATCACAATAATTATAATTTATGCAATTTAACATGACTATCATTCAAGTCCCTGCTCCAGTATCAGATGAAGAAGAAATCAAAAACTTTTATGCAGGTGTCCCAAAGGAAATTGGTAACACACCAAAACAAGACATGCTGATAATCACAGACAACTAGAATGCAGAAGTAGAAAATAACATAGAATACAGGGTTATGGAAGAATTTGGCATGGGGTCAGAAACAAAGCAGAAAGATAACTCATACAGTTTTGTGTAGCCAACAATTTGTTTATCACAAATACATACTTAGGCAACAAAAGCAGATGGTGTGTACACATGGACATTACCAGATGGCCAATACAGAAATCAAATAGAATATGTAATTGGAAGAGGAAGATGGAGAAGCTGTGTTTTCACTGCCAAAATAACACCAGGAACAGAGTGTGTTAGTAACCATGAACTCTTAATATGAAAAATCAGAGTAAAGCTGAAAAAAATCACTAACAATGTATAGTGACAAAATACAACTTAAATAACATCACTAAGTAATTTAAAATGCACATAAAGAACAGATTTGCATTACTGAACTCAATTGACTATGAACCAGAAGAACTGTGGGCTGAAACCAGAGACATTATTAGGGGAAAATGGCAAATGATAATTCCTGTAGCAAAAAGAAAGAAAAAGCCTAGAGGGATAACAGAAGAAACACCCACAATTGCTAAGGACAGGTGAGAAGCTAAGTCAAAAGGTTTGAAATAGGGTCAAAATCCTAACTGCTATGACCATGCAGAGACAAAAAGACCCACTACAATGTTCAGTATGAAGAAACAGAAGAGAACAACAAAAGAGGGAAAACAAGAGAACTCTCCCAAAAGATCCAAGAAATCAAAGGGAAATTCAAACCTGGATTAGGAATGCTAAAACACCAGCAGAGGAATATATCATTCGACAAGGATAAAATAAAGAGAATATGGAAAGCATATTTGGAAAAATAACACAGAAAGAAATCCTTCAAGGAGGAGTCAGCATTATTAGAAAGTGACATGAAAGATGCTTTGAAAGCCCTTGGAAGGAATCAAGTACCCAGAGAGGACAGAGTATCATAAAATTATTCCAAGCTGAACCAGTCCAAGGTCTAACAAGAATATGCCAACAAAAGTGGAAAACAATGGTTCCAGATTGGAAACACTTCACCTACATTCCAAGCCCCATGAAAGGAGGCACTAAGGAGTGCAACAATGACAGGATCCTTGCACTAATTTCCCATGCCAACAAAGTGATGCTCAAGATTTTGCAGCAAAGAATGTTACCCTAGATAGAGAGAAAAATGCCTGATGCTGAAGCTGGATTCCAAAAAGGAAAAGGTACTCAAGATCACACTGCAGATATATATAGGTTACTGGAGTACACCAAAGATCTGTCTGTGCTTTTGACTGTGCGGATCTTGACAAGCTATGGCTAGTTCTGAAAGAAATGTGTGCACCTCAACATTTGGTGTCCTGATGTGTGAGCTGTATCATGGCCAAACACTACTGTCAGGCCAGAATATAAAGAATCAGAATGGTTCCCTAGCAACAAGGGCATCTCCCTATCTGTTCAATTTCTGTGCAGAAAATATCAAAAGGAAAACTGGATTAGGATCAGAGGAAGGAGGATTAAAATGGAGGAATACAAATCATAATTTCAGATGCAAATAATACCATATTACAGGCAAAAGGCAGCAATGAATTGAAATGAATCCTGATGTAAATGAAAGGAAAAAGTGCAAAATCTGAACTGAAGCTGAACATTAAGAAAACAAAAGCAGGGCTGCAGAAGAATCACAAACTTTAATTTCAACAATGAAGAAACTGAAATTGTGAAAGATTTTACATACTGTGGCTCAGTTATCAATTCAACAGGATACTGCAACCAAGATTCAAAGAAGACCAAGACTTGGAAGATAGTAGTGAACAAAGAAATTAGAAAATATCATGTATAAGGACATTTCACTGGACACCAAGGCCAAGATCATCCACAGTATTGTATTCCTGATCACTAAGTATGGCTGTGAAAATTGGACAGTGAAGCACACTGGCAGAAAGAAAACTGGCGCTGGAGAGGAGCTTCCTGAATGCCCTGGACTGAGAAAAAAAATCACGTGGGTCCTACATCAAAGAGCCCCAAATTTTCCTGGATGGTAATAGGAAGAAAATTGTCATACATTGGGCACATCATGAGAATGCAAGATCTATTGAAGATGTTAATAATGCTAGGAAAAGTCAAAAATTGGAGAAGACCAACTGTGAGACAGATTGATTCTATAAAGAATGCCACAGTCTTGAGTTTGTAAGAGCTGAGCAGAAAGGACATTCATTCATAGAATTACCATATGTCAGAAATGACTTGATGGTATGTAATAAAAATAATGTCATGCATTCTTCAAGCAAGGATCAAATATAGTAAGCAAGCAGCAACAAAGTTATCCACTGGCCTTTATCTAGCTAAAATTACTTGTGACTCTCTCACTGGGAGCAATGGAACAGGTGACATGCAACATGTGAGTCCCACTTTCAATGGTATGTAACCATACTCACCTTTACCTGGGGTGGATTCTATGATTTAGGAACTATCATAATTCATGTACTTCGTTATTAAAAGCACTAAAGCAGCCGTGTTGGTTCAGGCTACAAGCTGGTTCAGGGTACTAGTCAGGCTACTAGTCCACCATTTTGTTCACACCCAATGTCTATGGGAAACTTACAACAGGACATTAATGCAATAACATCTTACCCCAGAAATACTGCACCCAGACATAAAAACAAGCTAACGGTTCCCCTGCACATGTGTGCTAGTCATGTTTGACTCTGGGGCCAGTGCTCATCTCCATTTGTAAGCCAAAGAGCCAGTGTCATCCAAAGATGCTTCCATGGTCATGTGGCCAGTATGACTAAACGCCAAAGCAAACGAAATGCTGTTACCTTTCCCACTCACAGGCATGCTAGACATAATGTCTCTGATAATATAAGTAGTATTGTGCCTAAGAAATCACTGATAGTCTTATCCTCCATAAATCTGTCTAGTAATGTTACCAAAGTTTGAGTGAATTTCATTCTTTTATTGGACCTGAATCTCTTCCTAGTCAGCTTTATGGGATGAACCATGGTTATAGTATTTTTTTTGGTGGGGGGCACTCTATTCACTTTCTGCGTACCATGCATAACTTTGAATAGCTCTATCACCCCTCCCATTACTCACCTTTTGTAACGCTAAGCAGCCTTCCTCATTGTGACCCTTCCATGTAGCAGAGTTGCTCTAGCCCTCTGATTTTGATTGTACTTCTTTCCCTATTCCACAATGCACTTTATACTTTCTGGAGGCCAGAAATTTATACAATATCTTTCCTCTCTTCAACTGGCACAAAAATAAGTTGCTTGTATTGTTAAAATGCATATTTCCTTAATAACTAGCCCTGCTGTGTTCAGTGGCAATATTTAGGATACAGACTTAAGCCTGTATTATTAAATTGATTTATATTTATTTCAGACCTGCCACAAGTTGAGCTGCTTCTTACAAAAGTGCACATTATGCAGTATCTAAAAATGAAACTGTTTATACAAGTACACTGCAGCAAAACACAAGAAATCTTAATACAAAGCAGAATACATTTTTCTTCTTCATGTGGAAAAATGCAATGTATTTGTGTGCACATTACAAAAAGAGACTTAACCCCGAGAAACTGGTCTGCAATGTCTAAAATAAGATCACTCTTATTCTAACTTTTATCATGTTTTCCTTCCAAATGCCACTTTTATTTTTTGTATTTTGAATGAATATAATGGTATCCAACAATTTAAAAAACTGAGTGCTAGATACCATTTTAAGGGTTTCCACAATGCACACAATGCAAGTTCTGTGCAATTCTGTAATAAAAGGGTTACAAATCTCTGAATGAAGTGTTCACTACAAAGTAGACATTCTGAGAGTGAGAATTATAGAATGTAAGAAACTGTCTTTCTTGCCAGAAAAGTCAGTCAAAGCA